ACACAGTTCAATGAGTCAGTCACATGCAGTCGACTCCACTTATAACGAACTCGCATATAGCGAATTTCGACATATAGCGACCCCTTGTCCGTGTCCCTGTTTGAACCCATACAAAATTGACCCTCTACAGTGAACATTTTCTTCTATAACGAACCAAATATGGTAGGGCCCCGTGTAAACCAAGTGTACTCATGCTGTCATGGGCCACTTGCCAGTCATGACTTGCTGCTTGTACAGGGTGAGTGGCATTTCTGTTATAACGAACTTTGGCTATAAAGAGTTAATTCGCCTGCACAATCGTGTTTGCTATATCAGGAGTCGACTGTACCTTCAACAGGCCTGGTGATGAATACACGCTGTGTTCCACTCGCGACCGTGAAGTGTATCTTGAAGTCGAGAAGGCTCACGCCCTTGACGCGCACGCTGTACGGCAATGGTGAGTCCACAAACAGATTCCACCAGCCCACGGCGGGCTTGGTGATATTTATCACGACCACAGAGCCGAGATCGACGGTCGGGAAGAACTCCTGGCCATTGGGACTCATGACCGCGAACATCGGCAGACGAACGTTGACTCCAGTTGTTGTGTTTGTACTGACCTATGAAACGCAAGAGGACGTTAGTTAGCCCCTCAGTCACTGGCAAATACAGAGTATTCAAGTATTGCCCGTGGGACACACAACCTGTGAGTATTGCCAATAACTCCCCTGCTTGAAGAGAACTCATATCAGAGACATGAAAGTTAGATTTTTAAGGCCGTCACCTCAGCCCAATTGGGCACTGATCCATTCTTGAACGTGTGGCCAAGAAAACAAGTACAGAATGAAAGTCTTGTATGTCCCACATCACTAGTACAGTTCACAATATTCTGTGCATGATAAAACAGGTGTAGACAGTTCACAGCAGCCTGTCGATTATCAACAGCATGTAGACATAGAAATTCACAACTGTGTAGAATGCGCTGCTCTTACCGACACAATCAGCTGCTGCAAGCTGCCGTCCACGGGAATTTGATAACGTGCAGCACCCGGTCGTGTCTCCACAGACAGTATGTTCACCTGCCTAGCGATGACAGAGATCTCGATAAACTTCAATACCTCGGCGACCTACAGGTGACAAGGGTTGCACGGAAAGAAGAATACCCACACCATGCATAACCAGTCGTCAAGATCCCTTTGTGATTAATTCGTACAAAAATCGCACTGCATTAGGCAAAAAGAGGATAACATAGAATATAGCTAGCCATGAAAACAACAAAAAAGTTGAAGAAGAATGGGAAGGTCTACAAGAACACACGTACTATCTGGATTAGTTTTTTGCGTGTTCTTGAAGTTGTATTTTTGAAGTAGGGCACAAGAAAATGCAACAAAGGAAGATCAAATCAGTGTAGAGTACCAGTCCTCACTATGGCATGGTGTAGAATAATGAAGGGTAAAGGACTAATGGTTCTAAGCACGTTAAACGGGAAGTTTAGTCTAACCTTTCACCAGTTGTAGTCTTTGGGGTGCTGAGTCGAATGGTCTTGGTCCGAGGAAGCCGAGACGCTCCCTTCCTCCTTTATTCCCAATCGAACTTGCGCACTTCCACCGAAACTGGGTGACTGCGCCCTACTAGATGGGGATTTGAATGCAAAATGTCACTAAAAGCGCCATTTCGTTCTTATAAAAGCCGGATGATCGCGATTAGCCAATATGTTGTAGTCTTTTGGACGCTGAGTCGACTGGGTTTGGTCCAAGAATGCTGCGATGCAGCGTTCCTCTTTATTCCCAATGAACATGGTTGAACAAGCGGTCACGTGCTCCTGCCTGCCCAAGTCACCTGTCACCGCGCCAGCAGGCGACAACTTTCACACTAAGGTTCAACTCCAGTGACAGGAGTGCATCCAAAAAAGGTCAAACAGGCTGTAAAGTTGTACCCTGCAGGCACGGTGACCAGGTGACTGGTGTACGCAGCAGCACATGGCGGCTTGCTCAACCATGTTTGATTGGGAATAAAGGAGGAACGCTGCATCGCAGCCTTTTCGGACCAAAGCCAGTCGACTCACCGTCCAAGACTACAAAATATGGGCCAATCCCGGTCATCCGTGCTTTTATAAGAATGAAATGGCGCTTTTGTGACATTTTGCATACAAATCCCCATCTAGTAGGGCGCAGTCACCCAGTTCGGTGGAAGTGCGCAAGTTCGATTGGGAATAAAGGAGGAAGGGAGCGTCTCGGCTTCCTCGGAAGCGCGAGTTCGATAGGGATTATAGGAGGAAGGGAGCATCTCAGCATCCTCGGATGAAGACCATTCGACTCAGCACCCCGAAGGCTAGAACTGGTGAAAATTTGATTTTAGACTTAACTTCCCCTTTAATAATTAAGGATGATGTCTGTGCATTTCGCAGTAGGGAAATATACAACTTACCCACACCATGGTCATTGCCCGCACCAGGACCAGCGCCCTACCCCCATGGTCTGGGAAGCTTCAAAGTATTTATGGTACATGCACCTCCAATTTTCTAACCTTCAGGTTTCACCTGGGGGAGTACATGGAAAGTGTTTTGAAGCGGTTGTTTACAAATAGGCTTGGGGCAAAGCGTAGTCAAACTACCACCTCGCATACAATCATCACTCCACAGAAGTGTACAGGTAGTAACACACACATACACACTCAATAGAGGCTACCTCGAGCTGACTAGACCGACCTTGTTCAGTTGTACAGTTAATATGCAGATAAACAAGACATGTGCCGGTGAAGGCTTGGAGTGACTCATTACCTCATTCTTTTGCCGGAGAAAGAAAATCTGGCCAGCTGATGCAGCAGCAATGTCTTTGAAGGCTCGGAACCCTTCTCCGCTTTGATCATTACAGTCACCCGTCAATACGAATATGACCTGGAAGAACAGCAAACAAAGTCATGTTGATGACCAGTGTCAATAGTGCACTAGCCTAGAATGTCCTATTTGTGATTTAGGTGTGCCATAGAGGATTCTATGTCATACACGCATGCATGGTCCTCATCTGGTTCAAAACATTTCCCTTCTCTTCGTTCAAACTGGAAAGCTCCAACGTTTGGAGAAGCCACCTTCTTCTACAATTACCGCCGAAGTCGCAACATCTCAGTTCTCTTGTACAAACTCCTGTACAAACTCCTCTGCTTCAACCAAGTCTCATCATCAGGTGAAGTACAGGAAAAAAGCAAATGAACAAGGAAAACGGATTAAGTACAGTAGAGAGGTGATAGAAACAGCTCAAGAAAGAAGAGATGAGACAACAACGATGAATGCGTGGCCAATACACATAGAATGGACGAGAAAATGTGTTGTTTTCTATTTTGTCATGTGTACGTAGTGCTCACGTGTACATAGATTCGAAAAAGAAAATTAAAAGGTTACTAAATTTAGGGATCCCACTGACAGAACAGGGTCGATTGAATGGCAACTAGGAATCACGCCAGTCCTGCATACTGAAGTAACTTTATCACAGTATTGGGATGAGTACAATCAACATCTCTCAATATAACTTTTCGAATCTGCAATGTATATATGGCCGGGCTACTGTAAAAAATAGTATGTCTTGCATAATACTGTCAGGTCACTGATTTTTACATCATATCAAACACTGAGTACCATGTTCTAGAAATGTAGCCTATGCTATCACCTCTGTGAGACTGTTATCATCTCACACCTCAGTCTTCTCGGGCTTTCCATGTTCTCTTCAGTAGAAAGTGCCCCACGACACTAGGTTTGGCCTTTAGGAAGTCAGCCCTTCGCCTCATTCTTTTCAACCCGGCAAAATGGACCTTTTTTGTCCGTCCCTCCTGACAGTTGTACTTCAAAATGTTGAGGCAAGGAATCTAAAAAAATAGATACAATACAATAAAAAATATTCTAAGCACTCGCAGGCTCCATTGCAGCCATTTACACATTAGGGTACCTCCTAGTGAACAGTTAATGACGATGCAGCAAAGAGACCATATTGTGTTTGAGTTGAGAGACCCTACAAAAAACTATCAATCATGATCTTCTATTTCCACTGATGAGCTGTGTTAGAATGAATCAGGTGTTTGGTGGTTATGGCGTAAGTGGATTGGGTCGGCATCACTCGCTTACCTGACTCTGGGTTTCCTGAATCAAGCTCAGTGCTTGGGTTTTCAGTTGGTAGTCCTTGGCCGAGGCGTCAGTGAACACAAATATGAACGATCGCGGGAGGAGCGTCGCAGCGCCAGGTTGATACCGCCGACTGCCATCTCGGGACAATCCCCGCCGCCGTGCACTTCCAGCGATGCCTCCACCGCATTCTCAAACGTCGCCTGATCGGCAGTGAGCGTAGCGAGGTTAACCTCTGTGCACCGCAGGGCAGCAGCAACAACAAGGCACATTCACACCATCTCTGATCAACATACACTCATGTCACATCCTGTGATATCACACGTAACCCGTTCTTCAATCCTATATAATATATGTCTCAGTTCTTCAATCCTAGGTCTCAACGATCGACGTACATGTAATTTCAAGTGGTGCAAAGGTCTACTTAGACAAGTAATTTGTCAATTAACAGAATGGTTGGAATACACACCGTGCATACAGAGCGTTTCTCTACCAATTGTGGTTGCTTCGCCAAGGGAAAGAAGCCATATTTGGTATCCACAGCCATCAGCCCTCTCCAAATCCAGCATATCCCGCACAGCAGTACAGGGCTGTGGCAGTGACAGGTAGATTCTACTAGTCACACTAATTGCCAGATCACTTATCAACAGCCATAAAATTGTCAATACTAATTGAATACTTGAAGTAACCACAACTGCTGGAAATGTGCTGGACGGCCCTGGACTAAGAGCTTCCGCACGTGCCGACAACATGAACGTGACTCGGAGTAGCGACCTCATCCCGACTCCAAGTGGCGTTTTCCTCCACAATGCGCCAAACACGTTTGGCTTGCATACAACACTGCGCCATGCATCAATATACCAGTACCTTGTCTCGCCCAGTGCTCACTCGGGGTAATGGACTCTGACTAGAAGAAAGCCAAATACCGGTGCTGTGCATCCAGTTGCAAAGGTGTAAAGCAGACTGGCTAAGTATCGCAGAGGCTATCATCAAAAATACCACAATGTGCTCATTTCTACTTCGAAGTAGTTTCTGAAATTACCTCCGTTTCTCCCGGTAGAAGCTATCGAGCATTTCCTTCTAAGGACCGGGTACGTTGCTAAGTCAAGTTGGAAGTTTACTTCTTGGTCTACTCCTGGCCAAGTGTTTCATGCCTGAATATGGGCTCTTCAAATTTCCGGAGCAATCCTACTTTGATGGAAGATGCCAGCAAAGAAAAAATTCTGACTGAAGCGAGACTACAGTCATGTAGGTCTCGATGTACGAACTAGTACTGAAGGAGTTAGGAGTTAGGTAGCCAGTTCGCTTCTACGTAGGTGAGAACCATGATACTTGATAGCTGCAGCCAGTGCAGCACTGCACTCTGCAGTGCAGGCTATGATCATACAGTGGTAGCAGGAAACCGGAACTGGCACTGCATGCGGCGCAGTAGGTCGACTTCCGGTATATCATGGTATATGGCAACTCCCTGATCAGCAATGACGTATTTGTTTCTATGTACGTGAGTATGTAGGTGACCATGGTGACGCCTGAGCATGTGGGAGACCTCGAGAGGAGTGTCTGAGCCTGAGGATAGGTCATAATTATCATGCATTGGGGTTTGAACTAAGTGTTAATATGAGGTCATGCATCTGCGTTTGAACTTTGACCTTTTCCACGGCTCGTGAAGAATACCGGTGTCTTTGATGTCCTGATGCATGGCGCTTTCGGCCCTCATTGGCAGGTGAGCCCTTGCCTTGGCAGAGTTGGTACTTTCTCTGGTATGTTTCATGCATGTAACTGTTCGGTATGTGGATAAATAAATGGAGAAGAGGTCAAGGAAGTGCCTGTCATAAGGTTTGTATGGTTCTGCCAATTGCACTGCTTTTCGAGCAGAATCTGCCGATTCTTCAAGCATTATCCACCAAGTG